ATATATATATATATGACATAAGTCATTTCGTTTGTAGTTTGGAGTAACTTTTAGGGTTAAAATATATTGAAGAAGCTTGGTGTACTGCGATTAATGCATGAAGAATAATATATTAAAGCATAAGTTCGGCAAAATGGTGCCTGTTTTAGATGATCTGAGGGTAATTTAGTGGACATGTCAGAATCTTTAGTTTACGATGAAAAAGTCCCAAACATCTGGACTCGTGATCTATCTTTTACAAAGAACAAAATGAATCAAAGAATACATACTATGAGTATACACCTCTCTAATTTGAGAGTATGTTGAGTAGCAAAACCCTAGTTCTTATCAACCTCTTGAAGATAGACTCCAGTTCAACCTCCAAGTCTTCCACAGCACTCTCCACAGCCTCCAACCTCTCTATCGCTCGTCGAACTGCATGAACTTCGCATTTTTCCCATGGGGTCAAACTATTCACCCTCATAAACTTAGCCTTGGCCGCAATAAGCCCATTAGAATGCATAGATTTTCTAGTCTTAGGGTTAGGGTTAGGGCTGGGCATCGACATAAGTAACATAAGCGACTCCACAAGCGAAATGATTGTTTCCCTAACTTCACCAAGCACATTTGCTACAACAACTATGCTGTTGTCATCATAATAATTGCTTGTCGTCTTGTTCTTCGTCATTTTTAGAGACTTTAGCCTGTTTAACATCTGTTTCTTCAAATCCTTTCGATGAACATGATATGCTGAAAATTTATTTTCAGCAGAAGATGTTTCACCAAGGGTGATTCTGCGAAAAGTGGATTGGAGCTCTTGGATGTGAGTTTTGACAAGAAAGAGTATTTCTTTTGTTCTCCCACAAGAATCTAACATCTTTAAAGACGATTCAGACACTTTTTGAACAGACGTTTGGTTTTGTTGGTGGTAGGAAAGAGCTCGTTTGAAGCTTGGTGAATGGAGCAAATCATTTGCGGAATTGTGCAAGTCTCTTAGAGAATAGAAATTCAAGATTGACATAGTTTGAAGATGAGGGTTTTTTGCAGATTGAAATATTGATTTTATCTTAGCTTTGATATGCCTGAATGGATCTCTATATGGATCTCTATATTGATATGTATATATAGGACATGAATTGATACCTCATGTTGGGTATTATTTTCGATTCGTCTCCGATGGAAAAAGATATGAAAGTGTACTTCTTGATCTGTACGTTAATGACAAATTGGCACCAGCTACGTTCACTAAGCTTGTCTCCTTGAAGCTTCCACGAAGAGAGAGAGAGAGAGAGAGAGAGAGAGAGAGAGAGAGAGAGAGAGAGAGAGAGA